CTGCAACATCACTAGGCAGAATTCAACTTCTTGTGGGCTTTGAAATTATCAGCTTGGGCCCATAAGTTGGGCCTCCCTACATGAATAAAACTCAGATTTAATGCTATAATTGATCCATTAAATTCAACAATTGTCTTGGACTTTATCCACCTTAAATCTCACAAATAATTATCCACTTGATCACATATTTGCTAATTAATTCCACAAAATGACTTCCAATTACATTAAAATCACTATTAAATTCATTAAAATATTGAAAGTGATCAAACCCCCACACTTGAACATTAGCTTGTCCTCAAGCAAAAGAAAATCACTATACAAAAAGGTCTAAAGAAATTGTAAATATGCAAAGTCACATGCAATCTAAATTTTCAAGAACTTAGTCTAACTAAAAATCTGTCTCCTCTTCCAAAAATAAAGAGTAACAAGGAAATTAATTAAGCAAAAATAATCTTTAACAAGTTGTCCCTCACTAGTCAAGTATTTGCAATCTGCGCTTAAGTGTTTGCAGGTTAGTGTTTCACTCAATTCCATCTATTGCAAACCATCTACCATAAGCTTGTTTGTCATCTTAATCTCCACTTAATTATGCCAATGCACACTCAAATCAAGAGGACTTTTCAAAGGTTGTAATGTCAACGTATGGTGATGAAAGAAAATTATTCAATGGGATAAAATTACATACTCTAGTCAGTGCTAAGCATCTTAAATGAAGAGCAAGAAAATTGAAGGGTAAGCCATAAGTCCATAACTATTTACAAGAGTCATTGGTAAAGATCAATACAATTTTTTATTCACTTCATTTTCTTTCTTGGTTATAATTCATCATCATTTTTTTTAAACTTTCAATCTTTTCTCTTCTTTCTTCATCTTCTCTCCTTTTTATTTCTTTTTTATTTTCTTCTTCTTTTGAACCACTATTGAAACCCCAACTAACTCTTAATTCCTTCATTTTCTTTCATGGGTGCAACACTTAGTACTTACTATAGTATAAAGAAGAATTAAAAATGAAAGAAAACTGGATAAATCTTAGCAAAAGGGCTCATGATTTTTTTTATAGAATAAGGCTAAGGCTCAAATAGGTGGAACAAATGATTTTATTAACTGGGATGAATGTTTAGCCAAACTAGCTAAGTAAATGAATGCCGTAATCATTTTTGTGTATGCAAATGGCTATGATAAGTCTTAATAAAGATTCAAGACAAGTTCTAGAGATGGATTTGAAATAAATGTACTCCCTCTCGAGGGAAAATGATATATAAGCTCAAATTTCTTTCAAGCTTTTTGGACAACTTATATTCAATTATTTGAGCTTATTCTTTGCCTATTTACTCAATTTTTAAGAAGGGAAGAATGACTCCTAATCAAACTTAATTCTTTTAAGTCTAAATCAATCCAACCTTAACAAAATTCACCAAAGACAAACAAAAATACCAAAGAAAAATATTGTTGAGATGTTAATTTTTTTTAATTTTGTAATAAAGACTATTTACAAATATGTACAATAACTCCTAACAAAATAAACAAGAAAACTCAAGGACAAACAATGTAATAAGAGTGAACACCAATCACTCCCTCCCCCACACTTAAACTACACATTGTCCCTAATGTGTAAACGCATAAACATAGAGAGAAAGAGAGAGGGACACTAGTACTCCCTGACAACTCCTCAGGCTGACAAACTTATAGACTGAGAGACAGTAGACGATAGACATAGCCTAAGTGGGCTAAAACATTGCACCTGTGCAAGATAACAAAGAGAAAGTGGATAAGTTCCAAAGTTAACTGCACAAATATGTCAAGTTAAGCATGACAGTTAGTCAATACCAATTTACAGACCCAATATTGAATGCAGAAGCAGTTATAGGAATCAAATATAGAACTAAAAGAATGTCAACAAAACAAAAAGAAATCCTAAAAACAAAATAAGAAAAAGAAAATAAACTAAAAGGAGTCAGGAGTGGTGTCGAGTGTAACGGGCATCAGTAGCCACTAAGTGTCCGAACTAGGAGAAATGCCTGGTTCGACTAAGACATGTAAAGGGAGATATTTGAGAGCACCAAGATTTATTTCTGCTAAGCCAACACTTGTGTCAATGCTCTCTTATAGTTCGGTTCTCCTCATATAAAAAGGCAAATTGTTGATGAACCAAGTATTAAATAGCTCTCCCTCATGATCCTCACTCTGCTTCTGCATTGTGCTCCTCAAGACCAACAGGATTGCGAAAAGAGTCATACTTAATGGGAGCCTTAGATAGGGTTTGAGGCTTAAATTCTTCAATAGGCACCCCAGTAGCTAAGAGAATCCATAATCATGTGAGGGAAGACAAGAGTAGTAGTTCCCCCTCCAAAGATGCAAGCCTTCAAAGATTCAAAAATCAAAGGTGCTAAGTCAACCGACTTGCCAATCATGATGCAATAGGTGAGGAGGGCTCTATAGTGGTCATCCCAGTGGAGTTGGAACTAGGCATAAATATCAGCAGATATAGAATGAAGCCAAAATATAGCCTCTTAATTAAATAAGCCTTTTGAAATCCTTTTGGTGTAACTACTTAACCTTTAGTTATTAAACACTATGAAATAGCTTCCCAATCAATATTGCTTCAATCTTTCTGAAGAGCTTGATAATGGCACTGAGAAACTAGGGGTAAGGCAAAATGCTTCCTAATAACCTCAGAATTAATTACAACCTCTTTCCCTCGCACCCAATATTTTCCTTCTTCACATAAAGTGGCATTAGCATAAAATTCACAAACTAAAGCAAGCCACAAATTGGTCAAACTGTTTAGTGAAGCATGTCCAACCCTAGGCAATAACTCTTAGATGAGCTGGTTTATGAGTAGGGATTGATAAATACCAATCTTTGTGAAAAGATTTAGACCCCATAGAAGCAATAAAGAGAGTAGATGCTTCATTAACCTTGAATCTTGAAAAAATGGGATCGACCCTTTCGCCCAGCCATAGTGCTTGTGGTGCCGAAGTAGAAGCTTTAGATTTGGAGGAACACCTTGTGAGAAGTCCCTTTAAGTGCTAAGGTGACTTTTTTTCTTTCCCTTCTGTGGCAGCAGCATTTTTTGAAGTAGAAACCTTAGCCATACTTGAAACAAGAAGAATGAAACAATTGAAAAACATATTCAGCAAAGCATAAGTCATTCAACATACCAAGCAAAGTGTACAACCCATAAACATGTCCATCAGTAGATATGACAGTACAAAACAAGCAAAAGAGTAGGCCCTAATCACAATTAACACAAGCCCAATATCACCAAA